TCTCTCTCTCTCTCTCTCTCTCTCTCTCTCTCTCTCTCTCTCTCTCCAGGTGGCCTCTTGCTGTGGCAGAGCGGGAGAGCCAGCTCAGTGCCCACGGGGGCCACCCAGATCGGCCAAGTCCTGGACAACGGCGCTGCCCTGCGCACTTTCCAGGCCATGCTGCGGGCTCAAGGGGTGGAGGCCGAAGTGTCCCGCCTGCTGTGTGAAGGGACGGAGGAGCAGCGCTTGGCAGTGCTGAAGGTGGCCGGCACCCAGGAGGAGCTGCGGGCTCCAGAAGAGGGTACGGAGTGGGCAAGGGTGAGGGGGCACTGCAAATCTCTCTCCTCCTCCTCCCCCGCACACCCCACCCTTTCGCTCTGGCCCTTTCTTGCAGGTGCTCCTGGGCAGGGCTGCAGGCCGGAGGAAAGGTTGAGGGTGGGTGTTTAGAAAGGCTTGCGACCAAAATGGAGCCCCAGGTTGTGTGTTTTGCTCCGTTTTATGACCTTTCTTGCCACAGCTGTCAAGTGAATCACTGCAGTTGTTTGGTAAGCAACGTGGTCCTTCGGTGAATCTGGCTTCCCCATTGGCTTTGCTCACCAGGAGATTTTGGGAGTTCTAGTCCTGCCCTAGGAATGAAAGCCGGCTGGGTGATTTTGGACCAATCACCAGGAGATTTTGGGAGTTCTGGTCCTACTTTATGCATCAAAGCCAACTGGATGATCTAAGGCCAGTCATTCTACCTCAGCCCAATTCACCGCCCAGGAAAAAGAAGTATTAGGTATATCTGCTGCCTTGAGATACTAGAAAGAAAGAAAGGAAGGAAGGAAGGAAGGAAGGAAGGAAGGAAGGAAGGAAGGAAGGAAGGAAGGAAGGAAGGAAGGAAGAAAAAAAGAAAGAAAGAAAGAGGGAGGGAGAGAGAGAGAGTGGGAAGGAAGGAAGGAAGGAAGGAAAGAAAGAAAGAAAGAAAGAAAGAAAGAAAGAAAGAAAGAAAGAAAGAAAGACAGAAATAAATAAATAAAGAAAGAAAGAAAGAAAGAAAGAAGAAAAAGAAAGAAAGAAAGAAAGAAAGAAAGGAGGGAGGGAGGGAGGGAAGGGGAAGAAAAAGAAACAGGAAGGAAGGAG